TTGCCTCGACTCTGCATGCTTTAGGTTTAGGGAGTCCATCTAAAGTCCTGTAGGGGACTCGCCTCCTTCCTCAGCTATCTGATTTGTTTGGTTCCTCCTGCAGCCTTTGGCTGCTGAGTTTTTTTTCTTTTTCTTATTCTTCTTTCATTTCCCTCCCCTCCTTTTACCTCTACCTCGCCCCTCTGCTCCAGGCATCTTCTCGTACCAGCGGTGCGGTTCCACCAAAGGAGGAAGAGCTCCGTGCAGCGGTGGAGGTTCTGAGGGGCCATGGTCTTCACTCAATCCTGGAGGAGTGGTTTGTGGAGGTGCTGCAGAACGACCTGCAGGGCAACATTGCCCCAGAGTTCTGGAATGCCATCGCCCAGCGCGAGAACTCTGTTGATGAACCCCAATGCCTTCTACTGCTCCTGGATGCATTCGGCCTCCTGGAAAGCCGCTTGGATCCCTACCTGCATAGCCTAGAACTCCTAGAGAAATGGACTCGTCTGGGCTTGCTGATGGGCACTGGAGCTCAGGGGCTTCGGGAGAAAGTTCATACCATGTTGCGGGGTGTCCTGTTCTTTTCCACCCCCAAGGCATTTCAGGAAATGGTCCAGCGTCTCTATGGCCGTTTCCTGAGAGTCTATATGCAGAGCAAGAGAAAAGGAGAAGGGGGCACAGACCCCGAACTAGAGGGTGAGCTAGACAGCCGGTATGCCCGCCGAAGGTACTACCGACTCTTGCAGAGCCCTCTATGTGCAGGATGTGGCAGTGACAAACAGCAGTGCTGGTGCCGACAGGCACTGGAGCAGTTCCACCAGCTCAGCCAGGTCCTGTGAGTACTGCCTCCTCGGCCATGCCCCAGTTTCTTTGGATGCCCCATTTGTTCTGAATTCAGTAGACCTCTGTGTAGAGCTAGTGACAGGTGAGGTCTTTTTCCATTTTTACTTGCTGCCAAGAATTATTTTGGTTTTTCAAGACAGAGTTTCTCTGTGTAAGTAGACCTCTGTGTAGAGCTAGTGACAGGTGAGGTCTTTTTCCATTTTTATTTGCTGCCAAGAATTATTTTGGTTTTTCAAGACAGAGTTTCTCAGTCCTGGCTGTCTTAGAACTCACTTTGTTGAGTTCCAGGTTGGCCTGGAACTCTCAAAGATCTGCTTGCTTCTACCTCCCAAGTGCAGGGATTAAAGGTGTGTGCCACCACTCTCCTGGACATAGGTATAGGGTATAGAAGGGCCCTCCTAGGTAAGGGACAGGTGTGTGTTGTGGGTTCTCCATGAGCAGGGATTTCCTCCAGGCATAGACTCAGTCTGCTGGAGAGGGTCAGCGCTGAGGCCGTAACCACCACCCTGCACCAAGTGACTCGGGAAAGGATGGAAGACCGCTGCCGGGGAGAGTATGAACGCTCCTTTCTTCGTGAGTTCCATAAGGTGAGACTTCTCCCTGGACTGTGTCCTGTCAAGGGCAAAAGTGGACTTTCTGCAGACCTGATTGCAAGAAGTAGGCAGGTTGACCAGGAGTAGTGATAGCTGAAGTTATCTTGGTGCTGTTTAGAGGCCAATCCTGGACCCTGGTGACAAGGACAAATCTGGTATGTACTAAATAGGCCTGTGCAGAATCCTATAGCTAGAAACAGAATCCTGGGCCAGAGGTGGTTCCAAGGGATTTCCCCAGACAGATATGGCAAGACAGGCCCACCAGACCCTTTTCTTTCCATTGCCCTATAAAATGTGTGCTCACTTAACAGTTCCTTCTGGATTAACCCACAGTCTGTACCCTAGCATGGAGTTAGGGTGTCTCAGTGAAGGCCTCTGGTTGCCGATAATATTGAGGTATGGTATGTAATTCTGCTATGGGGTTCCCAGCATTGTGGAAAAGCTAGGTTCAGCCCCATGAAGCTGTCCACCCTGTTTCTGCTTCACTCCTGACCTCCCATTTTTCAAGTATCTATCCCCTGTGGATGCCTGTTAGCCATGATGGGAAATGTTCAGAGTGGGTGTCCCCATAGTGATCATGAGCCTAGAGTCATGAGCCTGCAAGCTCTTGGGGCAGCCACATTGAGCCTTGGGCAGTGGAGTGCAGGTTTGGTGGCTCCTCTAGGGTCCTGTCAAAGGCATATGGCTACTGGGTCAGGCTGGATCATTTAAGTGTTATTACACCTCATACACTAATGATCTTCCACAG